GAATCAAATTCCCCGAAAATGACAGATTTGTATCGTTATAATAAGGTGAAAAAGGTCAGATCATTGAGTTGCAGAAAACACGGCACAAACTGTAATCGGATAATATTTGCTGAATGTAAAGAGCTAAAGAAATCAACGGGTCAAGCCGGCTTCGTTTCGGCCCTAAGTGTATTTACTACCCTCCTCATTGCTATCCTTTCTGGCCAGGCAAACCGAAAAAAAAAGGCGACGGCTAAAAACGTTCAGCGTAGTAGCCAAATTGTATTCAAATGGGAAAACAAAAGAAAGATTTTTTTCTACAAGATCAGCGGGGTTACCAAAGGGTCAACGCCGACATATTGTGGCAACTGTATGTATGTAAATGGATTGTGCTGTAAAAGCAGCATCTATCTCTATAGATTCTAGTCGACTTCGCTAAAGCCGTGTTAGTGTTACATAAAAAGCGCTCCGATTATCCATTAATTAAAAGTATATCAAAACAAAACGCTTCAATGATCAAACATTACAGTAAAAGAAATGAATAGAAAACAAAAAAAGAAAAAAGAGAACCCACTGAACAATAAGCAGAAGCAACTAACTATATTCCTTATGTTATTCAAATAGAAACGTTTCAATATTTTCTTTCATATTCTGCGAACAAATCAATTGCGCAAAATCATCTGAACAACAAAAATCAATCAGTATTAATGTGTAGGACTGATGTAAAAAAAAAATCCAATTCCTCTTCTACTTCAATTTAACTCAAAAAAAATCAAAAAAAAAAAAAAAAGTGCCAAAACTACTAGAACTTTATCAGAATTCCATCCTTCTCAATGGCTTTCATAAAGATACAACTGTTCCATAGAATTTAAAAAAAAACTACTGCTTTTCGTTTCTCATAAAAACCTCAGCAATCAATTCAATAAAAAATATGAAAAACCTCCATATAAAGTTGATAAACTGTTGCAAACCAAACCGATTACGGTATAAGCGCAACAGCTTATCAACTTTACCAAATATTCTCCACACATAAAAATTTGAACAGTCTCGCATCCGTATAAAATTTATAAGGTATAATCGGTCAATTTAAAAGCTAAAAAAATTGATGCTAACTTACCGAAAAAAACCTTTTCATTAGGATACCAATCAAAAGAACGCCATAATTACTGAAAGGCAGAAGAAAAAGACTAAATAATTAATGTGTTGAAATTTGACTAAAAAGCAAAAAAAAAAAAAAAAAAAAAAAAA